AAAGAAAAGAGAGAGGAGAGGAGAGGAGAGGAGAGGAGAGGAGAGGAGAGGAGAGGAGAGGAAGAAGGAAAACTGAGGAGAGGATAAAGGAAGAGAGGGGAAGGGAAAGCAGAGGAGAGGAACAAGGGAAAGAGAGGAGAGGGAAAAGGAAAAGAACAGAGAGGGGAGAGGAAAGCAGAGGAGAAAGGAAGGGAAAGCAGAGGAGAAAGGAAGGGAAAGCAAACACCCTCAAAGGCTTCACTGCTGCTGGGTGGGAGCTCCTGCTTGACTCTGCCTTCAGCAGATGCATTTTCTGCCTTATCTGCACTTCTCCCATCCTGTGGTGAGGATCTGTCCCAGTGTCACTTCCAGGGAGGGGCATTTCCGCCAGCTCCAGGTTCTTCTGTAAGTGATGGCAAAGAGGCTTGTCAAGGAGAAACCCTGACTGTTCCTTGGCAATTGCTTACAAAATGTGAATGCTGATGGATGTCAGGGTAATTTAAGGAATATTTAAAGGTTACTTTTCCACCTCTCAACAAAAGCCAAACATACAAAGTGAGTCTGTGTGTACTGAGCTCACGCTGGCCAACACCAGGTGCTGACGTCCCCAAGGAGCACAGTAACTGTTGTTATCCTTTATTTGCTGTCTCTGCAGGATTTGGGATTTTGTTTTTTTTTTTTCTTTTTAGGGCTCAAAAATGCCTCGTGGCTCATGGGAAGCAGGATCCTGAGGAAGGCAGCAGTGGGAGTGAGGGTTTCACAGTCTGCTCCCCACTCAGCTACTGTGGGGCTGGTTGGTGCTTCCCAGCAGGGAGAGAAAGAAATGCTGAATTTCTGACCAGAAAACAGAGAATCCTTCAAGGAGACACACCTCCAGCATGGCCCAGAAAAGCCAAGTCGGTGGAAGTGAGAAAAATGGGTCCTCCCTCCTGTACAGCAAGAGTGATTTCAAGGAAGGAGCCCTGCAGTGGGTGACAGGTAAGGGAGCAGCTCATTGTGAACAGGAGAGGCAGATTTGAGCTCAGTGTCCTTAAAATAACCACTGACAGATTTTACCAAAGATGCTCTTTAACAGAATCTCACTTGTGAAAGTACCAAAACACTGTGGATGTTTCAGCAGTTTGGGAAGGGGATGGAGATGCTTTGGGGCTTTTTTTAGGAAGACCTGATATGCAGGAATGAAGAAATCAAATTATTGAAAAGCAGCCCGCTGCAAGGCCTCTCCTCTTGGCCTTTGAAACTGAGAAATCTTTGGGAAACTTGACCTGTGCTGGGGGCAGCAGGGCAGGGGGATGCTGCCCCTGTGCCCTGTGCTCAGGTCAGACCCCACCTGCAGAGCTGCCCCAGCCCTGCCCAGCACAGGGAGGAGCTGGAGCTGCTGCAGAGACCCAGAGCAGGGCCAGGGGGAGCAGAGGGATGGAGCAGCTCTGCTGGGAGGGAAGGCTGGCACAGCTGGGGTTGTTCACCTGGAGAGGAGAAGCTTTGGGGTGAGCTCAGTGGCCTTGCAGAGCCTGAAGGGGCTGACAGGAAAGATGGAGAGAGACAGGACACAGGGAATGACTCCCAGTGCCAGAGGGCAGGGCTGGATGGGATATTGGGAAGAAATTCCTTCTATGAGGGAGGTGAGGCCCTGGCACAGGTGCCCAGAGCAGCTGTGGCTGCCCCTGATCCCTGGCAGTGCCCAAGGCCAGGCTGGACAGGGCTGGGAGCACTCTGGCAGCAGGCAGAGCCATGGATGGTCACTCACACCCCCCTGCACCCTCCAGCAGGGCCCCTTTTTGTTCTAAATGTCCCCAGGAGCAGCCCAGGGACACCTGGCTGACCCTGGAGCTGCAAAGGGGAAGGAAATTTGGGTGGGACCTTTCAGCAAAGCAGGATCTCAGCTGAACCAGCCACTTCCTTAGCTCCAAACTCTTCCTCTCTCTGTGGCACAGCTTGTGTAAGCTCTCGGGGGATGCCAGATGGGCTGCCTGGAGATCACAGCTCTCCCGTGCTGCTCCTCAAATCTAGGACAGGCTGTCCTGACACGTTTGAGGCTCCTGACTTGAGTCTCTAGGATGCATCTCTGATCCTGCCCCGGGCTGACACTGAAAGCCTCGAGCAGAGCCATGCTGCTGCAGGAGCTGGGGTGCTCCAGGGCAGCCCTGCCACATTCCTGAGCGATGGGATTGCTGGGCAGCACTTGAATTCAGTGCTCAAGTTGGTTTTCATGGTGGGTGGGCAGTGGGAGGGTCTCCAAGAGGGAAGTGAGCCTCGGTGCCACCGAGCAGCCTGAGCCCATTGTGGTGGTGAAGCAGCAGGCCAAAGTCCTACACACCAATTCCTGACTCCAGCTGACAGAAGCCATGAGAAAGCCAAAACTGGCTTTTCTACAGCTCCAGGGGCTTCCGGATTGCCATGGCTGTGCTGAGGGCACCACGGGCTGCCCAGCCTGGCACCGGGGCTCTTGTGCCCAGGGAGGGAGCGGGGTTGGGCTGAGCAGCAAGTCCTGGTTCTAACACTTTTCTGCTGGCTTCTCTTGGCAATTCCAGCTCACAAAACAACTTGTTTTCCCTGAGAAAGAGCTCTAAGACTGTGGAAAACAAGTTGTTTGAGTCAGGATTCTTTGGCCTGCTGTTTCACCCTGACCTCCAGGCAGGACATGGTTGTGCTGCAGATCAGAGCATCCTCTTATCTCCTCATCTCTGGCTACTCACTCCTGGGATGTTTTGGGGGTTTCCTCCCTTTCTGCAGTCTGTTTCCTTCCAGGGGGTCTCAGGCTGCTTGCAGAGCTCCTTAGCAATGGCCAAGGAGGGGAATCTGGATCAGTTTAAATCACATCAGGGTGGTTTGTGTTCTCAGCCTCCCTTTTGCCAGGTGCTGCTTGGCTGTGGGATAAAACTGACAGAACAACAGGACACAGTCTCAAGCTACCTCAAGGAAGGTATAGGTTGGATATTAGGGAAAAAAATTTCATTGAAAGAATAATAAATACTGGAATTGTTTTCCTAGGGAGGCAGTGGAATCGCCATCTCTGGGTGTGTTTAAAAAAGACTGGACATTGCACTTGGTGCTGTAGTTTAGTTGTGGTGTTAGGGCATGGGTTAGACTTGATGGTCTCAGAGGTCTCTTCCAACCTCATGATTCTGTGATTCTGTGATTCTGTGAAAACCCCCCTAGTGCTGTGCTCATGACTCTTTTGGGTTCTTGCAGAGCCCCCCCAGGGCCGGGTGCTGCTGGTGCTCAGCATGGACAATACCTGCCCCACCTCCTCCTTCGACATGGACCTATGTGCTGACAAACTGCAGTCCCTCGGCATCCAGGTGAGCTCCCCTGGGAGTTAATTCCAGCTGCATTTGCATAATTTGCATTTACACCTACGTCCCAGATGGCTTTGGGGTTTTTTTTGGTTTGAGAGTTGCTTGTGTCAGTCTGACTTCAGTCTATTCCCTGTAGGCTGGAAGTCAACTGGGATGAACTTGGCTTAAACCTCAGTGAAGAAACTCTTTAAAGTTTATTTGGAATGAATTTTGTTTAAAATTCACTCTGATAGGGCAGAGCATTCCTGGGATATCTGCCTTGTCTTGTCCTTCATCACAAAAAGGGGTTTTCTTCCCTTGTGACTTCCCCTGCCCTTCCCAGGCAGGTTTTACTCATTGCAGCTGAGGCAGGAACACAAGTTTTGGGTCTGTGGCAGCTCTGTGGGTGGGATTGGAGATGCTCCCTGTGGGAGGCAGCTCTGGGACACAGATTTGGGTTGCAGTACTGCACAAGGAGTGGTAGTGAAATGTGAGAAAAGAATTTGTAGAAAATTTACACACTAAATTTATACACACTATATAAACCTTCTATCAAACTTTAAAAATTTTCTACAAATTCATTTCTCACAGTGAAACAGCAGGCCAAAGGTCTACAAACCCAATCCTGACTCGAGCTGACAGAAGCCATGAGAAAGCCGACAGCTCTTTGTGAGAACAGAGTCCTGCAGCAGTGAAAAACAACTTGTTTTTCCTGAGTAAGGGCTCTAGGACTGTGGAAAACATTAGCCACTTGTATAAACTGTTTTTGTACTGAAAACTATCTCTCACAAACAACTTTCCCTTCATGTACACACCTGGGGTTTGAGTGACCAATCAATACAGAATAACAACTTGTTACTGACAAATTTGGGATAGACAGGGGATGCTCTTAAAAGCCCTATAAAAGGGGACACACAAAATAAACTGGGATGGATCCTTTCTTTTTGCACCATAAAATGTGTTCTACATTGTTGGGAAAGAGGAAAATTTGACAAAGAACTCTCACAGATGTGTGTGCTTGGAATAAAGATATCTGAATGTAGAACCTGAGAGCAGAACAGAGATGGAAGCAAGTTTTGCTATAGAAGAATAAGAGATGTGTCAGTTGACAATTGCTGAGCCATTGCTGGACAGCTAAGAAAGCAAAGGTTAATTCGAGCTGGAAGGAGGTTTCATGACTAGAGCAAAGGATCTGTTGACCACAAAGAAAAACGATGTTTTTCACCAAGTAGAAATAGGTCTTAGGAAAAGCAGAAGAGACCACAGGCAAACAAACATGTTGATGTGGCAAGTAGAAAAAGGGTCTAAGAATTTTCCACTGCAAGAAAACAGAAAAACAACTTTTAAGCTTAAAGTGTAACATGTGGTTGTAACTCATGTGGTTGGGCAGTAATGACCATAATAAGTAATGATAGTTATGATAGGCTGTAGGTAATGTAAAGGTGTTGATTGGTTCTTAGGTATTAAAATGCTCAGCAAAGCAAAGTATCTAATGCAATGTAACCAGAACTAAAGGGGTTTCAGGTTTGCCTAGAGCTGGAGCTGACACCTGTAAGTGTGGCGCTGTCACCCACAACCCATGGCTGCTGTAAAATACATCAAACAGCATTTTGTATACAACAAATGGCATTTTGAAGAGCTGTAATATACAATAAATAGGACTTTGAAGAGCCACCTGACCTCCCACATCTTGCATCCCAGGCTCTTCCTCATCCTTCTGTATCGAGGTTTGCCCTGCCTAGTTCTGCTGGGAACTGGAGCCCAGGCTGGAGGGTGGCTGTTGCAGCATTTCTGAGAGAGAGAGGGCATGATTTATGTTTGGAATGAGATTTGAGCTACTCCAGCCTAGGCCTCAGATTTGGGCCTTGTGAGGCCTTCCAGCCTCTAACACAGTTAGAAATTCAGAGTTTGTGATGCAGTTAGAAATTCAGAGTTTGTGTCGCAGTTAGAAATTGTATTCAGGTGTGATGGGGAGCACTGGGCTGTCTGGGTGTGAAGCCGTACAGGTTTATAGTGTGAGGTTTAGGCCACCTTAAGACAAAGACAAACAATGTTGGCTTGCCAATCAGAGTGCCTTTGTAATCTGTAAACTATATAGAAGTGTTGTCCTGGCTTGTAAGATCAGCATGGATTCTATTGCCATCTGTTGGAGGTTGGGCAGTTTTCTTATCTCTCCCAAGAACAATGTCTCCCTCCGGGGAGAATCTTCCGTTAATGGCCATTGAATGTCTCACTGCATGGCTGGGAAAGTTCCATCATCCCATTGGGAGATGCTCCACCCAGAGGGAGGAGCCAAGCACTCCTACCTGCATAAAATCAGTATTTTTGGGACACCAGGGCAGCCCTTTGCTGGATTCCCAGAGGAGCAGCTTCTTCTCTGCTGGATCCCCAGAGGAAGACCAGGCCCATCTACTCCATCCCCAGACCTTCAGAGAAAACTCCACCCTGCTACAGATCCCTGCTCCAGCAGCATTCCATCTGCCCCTCCAGGAGGAGCAGCCACCATTTCACTGGACTATTACCAACACCCTGACTCCTCAGGGTGTCAGGTTTCTGACTCCATCACTAGTTTCATTTGTACTAATTACATTTTTTTTAATTTATTTTTTTACATTTATTTAGTTTTTCTCCTAGTAAAGAACTGTTATTCCCATTCCCATATCTTTACCTGAGAGCCTTTTTAAAGTTATGGTAATTCGGAGGGAGGGAGTTTACCTTTCCATTTCACAGGAGGCTTTTGCCTTCCTTCACAGACTCCTGTCTTTTCAAAGCAAGACAAGTGTATAAAAGCTGCCATCTTCTCTGGAATAAACAGGGAGCGTTGCATTAATCATATTGGTTGGATGTGCGTTCTGCCCTGTCCAGCTTTCCCATTTTATGAGGTCCCTGGCAGCAGGTGGCTCTGGTTTTGTGTTTGCTCCCGTGCAGGTGCCCATGGATCCCTGGAGGAGGCTGATCCAGGAGGGTGTCCTGAGGCCCGAAGTCAGGCGCTACCTCTTCTACAGCTCCAGGGGTTTCCAGATTGCCATGGCCATGGTGAGGGCACCACAGGCTGCCCAGCCTGGCACGGGGTGCTTGTGCCCAGGGAGGGAGTGGGGTTGGGCTGGGCAGCAAATCCTGCTTCTAACACGTTCCTGCTGGCTTCTCTTGGCAATTCCAGCTCACAGAATTCCTGCAGATGGAGGGCAGGGCTCTCTCTCCACCCTGTTGCTGGCAGTCCCACCAAAGCAGGCTGTCCATGGGTTCCCAGCACATGCTGAGGTGACAGCACCTACAACACGCTTGGTTTAGAGCTTGATTTTAAAGATCTGAAGGCATTCTGGTCCTAATGCTAATTTAGAGCAATGAATCAGCCAGCTTTTGGTAATGTTTGTCTTCTTCTGGTGAAAGAAACTCCTCCAGAGACTCAACCATGAGCATCTGCTGTGAGGCTGGTGATTTGCAGCGTTGAAGCTGCAAAGGGTGTGATCAAACCCAAATCTTTGTTTTAATTACTTTTTTTTTTAATTTTAGGATAGCCATTATACAAATCTTCTCCTTTCATTGATACTGTAGGAATTGGTGCTCAGTGTTTTGGGGGTTTGGTACCTGTTTAGTGCACCTGAGTTTTGTCATTATGAGAAGATGCCGTGCCCTACATATCACCTGCTCCTAGGCAATGTCCTGCCCAAATCCATGCTCTGTGAGGTGAAGGAATCCAGTTGTCCCTGCCTTTAACACAACCTTTTAGTCCTGTGTCAGTGAACACTGGTTGAGCATTACTGTAATGGAGTGGTCTCTGCACACCTTGAAATAGGAACTTTCTAAATCCAGGGACTCTGAGAATTATTATTAATATGCCTCAGTGAGTGCATTCCTCATCTAAATGGAAGAACTCTGTTGAAATTCTTCCTAGGGATGAATCATCATTAATAATTCACACTTTGTCTTTGGTGAGTGGTGATTTTTAAAAATAAACTAGGGCTCACTCAGTCCTTCCTGTCCTTTCTTTTCTCTGTTTATTATTGGAAAGAAGTTTTGTCCTTTCTCACCCTGTGAAAAATCTCATGGGACTTAATTTATAAGGGAGAAGGGACTGTTATTTTCTTCTTCGTGTGACTTTTCTCACTTTCATGGTTTGTGACTCTCACCAGGCTCCCTATTTTTCCCCAGGTATTCTACATCTCTCTTTGGACAAACCTTTACTCCACCCTCCAGCTGTGTTCCCTGGGCCATTCCTGGGGGGCTGGCGTGCTGGTGACCCTGGTGGCCCTGGCTCTCACTGCCCTGGTGATCCTGGTCATTGATGGGCACCAGAGGAAGGTGAGAGGAGGCTCCTGGTGTGGGTATGTGGAGAGAGGGGAGCAGGATTCCTCCTGCTGGGCATTCCCTAGCTGCAGGCAAAGAATACAAGGATCCAGGGAGGAGGGAATAATTTTACAGCACTCAGGGAAGGCAAGGGGTGCTCTGCAGCCAAGGGAGGGGATGGAAGGCTTGGAAGGAAGTGTTGGAGCTGCTCAGGCTGGGTCACAGAATCCCAGAATAATGAGGTTGGAAGAGACCTCTAAGATCATCAAGTCCAACCTATGCCCTAACACCACAACTAGACCATAGCACCATGTGCCAAGTCCAGTCTTATTTTAAACATATCCATAGATGGTGATTCCACCACCTCCCTAGGAAGACAATTCCAGTATTTTATTATTCTTTCAGTGAAATTTTTTTTCCTAATATCCAACCTAAACCTTCCCTGACGTAGCTTGAGGCTGTGTCCTCTTGTTCTGTCAGTGCTGCCTGGTGGAAGAGATGGACCCCACCTGTCCACAACCTCCCTTCAGGAGCTGTGGAGAGCAATGAGATCACCTCTGAGCCTCCTTTTCCCCAGGCTGAACAGCCCCAACTCCCTCAGATGTTCCTTGTAGGGCTTGTGTTCCAAGCCCCTCACCAGCCTTGTTGCCTCCTCTGGATGTGCTCAAGCATCAGACCTCCTGCTGCTGGAGATCAGAGGCTCAGAGAATCCCAGGCTGGTTTGGGTTGGAAGGGACTTTAAATCTCATCCCACCCCACCCCTGCCATGGCAGGGACACCTCCCACTGTCCCAGGCTGCTCCCAGCCCTGTCCAGCCTGACCTTGGGCACTGCCAGGGATCCAGGGGCAGCCACAGCTGCTCTGGGCACCTGTGCCAGGGCTGCCCACCCTCACAGGGAACAATTCCTGCCCAATATCCCATCCATCCCTGTCCTCTGGCAGTGGGAGCCATTCCCTGTGTCCTGTCCCTCCATCCCCTGTCCCCAGTCCCTCTCCAGCTCTCTCGAAGCTTCTCTGAGCACTGAGAGGCCACAGCAGGGTCACCCTGCAGACCAGCCCTTGCAGAGTGTGGGTTGTGCTCCCACAGCAGCTCTGGCTCCTGCCCTGCTCCTGGGGATTCCTCCTTGCATTCCCTGCTGCCTCTGGCATTACTGGCACCATTTATTTGGCTGAAGAATAATATTGGAAAGTCTCGATTCAAAATCCAGAGGGGGTTTCAGAGCAAATGATTCTTCCAAGAGGAAAACAGGCAAATGTGGGAGTTCACAGAGGTTCAGGAAAGGAGATTGCTGGGGGATGGAAGGGAGAACATGACACTGGAATTCAATCCCACTGTTTTCCTTTCAGAGCTGCAGTATATGGGATTATCCAGCTGCAGTTTGTTGATTTTTGCTGTGGATTGTGTTATTTTTCCTTGCATTCTTTAACAGCTAAACGTGAACACAGATGTGAGGCTGGCAGCTGTCAATGAAATCTTCATCAAACACAGCATAATCCTGGGGATTACAGATGTCCTGGATGGGCCACACAACACCCTACAAGTATCCTTGGTGGGAATTGGTCAGATCCCTCCTGGATAAATGCCTCCTGCTGGGGGCATTTATCAATTACACAAATTACATTTATGAATTAATCACAACATCAATTATTATTGGTGCTGTGATCCAGAGGGTGGCATTCCTAGGATTTGCTTTGGGATAGTATGAGAAATTGGGATGGTTTTATTTCTCCTGTAGGTGGGGATTGAGATATACCCAAAGGTGATTGGAAATAATGAGTCTAAAGGATTGAAGTGGGATTCATTAGGGCAGATAATTATTCCTAAAAATAATTATAATTATGTGCCACTGATGATTCTGCCTATAGGCAGAGGGATAGCAAAACTCCTATGGCACAAAAAACCCCCAAAACCACTAAAAAACAACAGGAAGAAAACCAAGCAGTCCCCCAAAAACTCTTAACATGGAGAAAAACAAAATCCCCATCCTTGGGCTCATTTGCTGCTTTTCAGAGTTTATTTTTCGGCACTAGACAGGGATCTGGGGGAATGGAGAGTTTTAAGGCTCCATGAAGGTGTTAAAGGAAGGTGAGAGAGACACAGAGAGGCTTGAAATACAAATGGAGAGGGAAGCCAGGCTGAAGCAGGGAAGGGGACAGTGAGCACTGCAGGAGGGCAAAGTCATTCAGGAGAAAGAGGAAACCCTGAAAAACCTGAATTCCACATTTGTAAATCTGAATTCCATGTCTGTAAATCTGAATTCCATGTTTATTCTGGCCAGCATAGTCCATTAGAGCACTAATCCAGGGAGCCTTCACCTTGACCTACCTGTCCCAAAACTGCCTGAGAGCAGCAAATAACCCAGAGATTTACAATGGCTCTGTCTGTACCAATGTCAGATCCATTTCAACCCTCTGGATTTTACATTTTTCTGCATCCCCGTGCTGCTGGCAGGTGCAGCAGATGCACAAGGACAGAGCTCTGGCTGCCTCAGAGCTGGCAGGACTCACATCCCCAAAACCTCTTGGAAAACTCTTCTCAACAGCGTCCTCATGGCAGCACTGAGAATGGGCAATTTGGTAAAGAAGAAATGGAGTGAATCCCTAGAAACAACGGTGAGACAGCAGGAAGGGGTTTAGGGCAGCTGAGTCTCTGTGCCCCAGAGTTTATTTAGTGTGGGGTCACTGAGATGAGTGATGGGAGATGACCCTGGGTCATCCCAGGCTGCAGGGGGTGAGGGAAGACTGGCTCTGCTTCCCCATTAGCTTGGAGTTTTGTCTTAAAACCCTCCAGGCTTCAAACCAGCCCTGGGCTGTGTTATTTGGGTTCTGGCTGCCCTGAGGGCATCACCTGCCTCATCTCTGCTCCCTGTGAGCCCATCCCAGCATCCACATGGATGGGAGGGGAGGCTTGGAGAGGATCCTTCCTTAACCTGCCCCTTGCAGCTGTGGTTTGTGCACTTCAGCCCCGAGCCCTGCCTCCAGGCCCTGGCAGCCCACATCACTCACCTGCAGGGGACACAGGTAAGGGACACTGGGGACAGCCTGGGGACACGGGCAGGTCCTGCCCTAAGCCCTGGATTTGCTGGGGTGGAGGTGGGCAAGGAGAAATGAGTGTTTGAGTGCCCTGCTGGCATTCCCCTGCTGTGCACTGGGAGCTGGGCAGACTGGGAGGTGAATAAAGTGAACCTGTCCCTGCCCAGTTCAGCAGGAATTTGTCCAGGCCCCATGGAATGTGCGTGTCTGGATAATTAACTGTGCAGCTTTAATGATGGAAAGCCATCAGGAACGAAAGGCAAATTTTGGAAGCATGTGGCACACCTTGAAACAGCTGCCACCTTGAGCTGTCCTCCTGGAATAAATGGGATAGCCTGGAGGAGTAGGAATTGCTGGGTTGAGTTAATTATAGACAAACTTTGTCCTCTTGGCCTTCAGAAAACGTTTTGCTCTCTGTGGGTGTGTAAATAGCCACTGAACTGCCTTTGTGGGGTGAGAGGTGAGAGCTCTCTGAAATCTCCAGGCTGCTCATCTCCCTGCAAGCTGCAGGGATGGAAGCAGTTCCCTGACTCACACAGGGGATGAGAGAACTCTGTTTTTAAAGGCAGGGCTCTCCATGCCAGGCTGTGCCCGTGGTGCTGGGGGCACTCACTGGCAGCTGAGGGCAGCCAGGCCATGGCATGGACACCCAGCTCCAAGTGCTGGGCACAGCTCTTGGCATGGGAAATCCCAGGAGTGAAAAATGTGCAAAAAAGGAGAAAACTGCACCTTTTAAACTCTGTCCTCAAGACACCACTGCAGCCTGGGGTGGGAAATCCCAGGAATAAATCCATGCAGGAGGAAATGGTGCCCTGTAAAGTCTCTCCACAGGACACCACTGCTGCCTGCCTTTGGAAAGCCCCAAAATTTCCTTCTCTCCCAGGCAGGCTTGAGGCAGAGGCTGAACAAGCTCTGGGTGGCCCTGGATGTGGCAGTTCAGCCTGAGCTGAGGGTGGAGGAGGAGGCTCCAAGTGAAGAATCCCCTCTTTTATCCAGCAAGGTGACCCTGAATAAAGATCCTGTGATCTGCAGTGAGCTCTTGCACCTCATCCCCGAGGGCCCACCCCAGGTGAGGAGAAATATCCCCCACAGTGGCACCACATCACCCCCCAAGGCATCTCAGCTCCAAGACTCATCCCAGCCATGGGGGACACCACTTTTTTCTCCAGCAGAAGCACCTGGAAATCCACACAGACCTTCTCCAGCCCTGGTGCTGCAAGGAGCAGGAGGAGGAAACCCTTAAAAACCTGAATTCCACGCTTGTAAACCTACATTCAAAGCTGTCTGAGCAGCTGGTGATAATCCTTGAGGAATTAATGGATTGGGCTTTTCCTTGCTGGTCCCAAGTGTCCTGTTTCGAAGAAAACCTCTCCCCAGGGACCTGATGCCCCTGCCCAGGCTGAGCTGAGCCATGGATGAGCCCAGCCTTTGTCTCCTCCATGGAAGGTGCCTTCAAAGACTTGTGCCACGCTGAGCAACAAATGTGCCCTGATTCCTGCTCAGCATGGAGCTACCAAAGGGATTATTTTGATTTCCTTTGCAGTTTTCCTGTCACTGTCACTAAGTGAATTCTGTGCAGGTGATATCCCTGCAGATTGAGGCTCTCTGGATGTCTACAGGCCAAAACAAGCCCCAGGAGGCAGGGACAGAGTGGGCAGGTCCCCAGGGCCAGCGGTCACTTGGTGTCACCCCCCTGTGGGGACAGCACTGCTGGCCACAAGGGCACACAGTTCTCTGTGCCATTGGCTGCTGTCCTGCTCCTGTCAGAGTAGGACAGTCCTTGAAGCGGGGAGAAAATGGGGTTTGGTGGATGCTCTGCTCAGGGATGCCCTGCTCTGACACCTCTCTTGTTCCCTGCAGGCCATGGCCCAGCAGCTCCTGGTGATCTTCAGCGCCTGCTACGTCCGGCTGCTGGTCACGGGCCGGCTCCCTCGGGCCAGCCCAGGGGGACACCTGGGCCACAGCAGCGCTCCCTGTCCCTGCCAGTTCATCCAGAGCACCGTGCTGCACCCCCAGCACTGCTGGGGCAGGGGCAGCTGAGCAGAGGGAGCTGAAAACACCAAA